GAGACTAAACTGAATCGAAAAGTCTTCTATCATTTTGCAGTTTACACAACAAGTTAACGAGATATTAATTTAAAGATATAGATTTAAAGATAGTCGAATACGCGTGTCCATCCGACCTATTATCGTAGGTATGGCCAGAAAGAATAAAGAGTGGGGAAAGGCCTAAAAATGGCGGATGCGAATACCTATATTATAATGCTCTACCTACACGAGCGTCTGTAAGTGAAAGGGTGCATTAAAGTTGACGAAGCGGCTAGCCCGCTCGCCGAGGAAATGAACATAATTAGTTGTTACTTATATTACATTTAGTTGTTACTTATAGATCCAACCAATCATATACATGACTGCGTTCAGCAGAAAAGCAGTTTTGCAACTGCTGTTGTAAAATTCTTGAATATGATTGGTTTATACATTTAGATCCAATGAAGAACTAAGGGCAAGACTATTGTATTAGGAAATTTTACAACAGCTGCAAAGCTGCTTTTTCTGCTAAACGCAGCCAATCGCTCCGTAAGCATGCTTTGCCGTCTTGAACTCGCCCAATGAGGTAAGCGGTAAAGGTCGCAGCACAGACTTTTGCATAACGCATAACACATAATACATAAGTGAATCAACTAATCAGAATATTTCCCTTCCTTCCATTTTATAGAAAAGAAGAATTTGTTGAAGAATTGGTTGATTCCTTGCACTATACATGCTGGTTCTACATTAGTTGCAAGCTGATCGCAAGTTTGTTGTGACAGCCAATCTAAAGCTTGCATTTTGAAATCAACGCTTCATATTGGCTGTCGCAACAAACTTGCGATCGACTTGCAAGTAATGCAACACAGACTCTCGCATAACGCACAATGCATAGTTCGTTATGCGTTGTATGAGGGAATCAACTAATCGAAATCCTTCTTTTTTAAGGAATAAAAGAAAAGAAAAGATTCTAATTAATTGTTCGCTTATGCACATGTTTATTTAACAAAATATTGAAAAAAACAATTTTTTTTTTAATATAAAAGGGATTTATAAACGCTGTAAACAGATCATTTCTAATTATCTTTCTTTGTTGCTGTTTCAATTTTACTTTTTATATCAACATCAACGCAACGTCACAAATAGTTGTTTCAACTTTATTAATAATTTAAAACTTGTTAATAATTTTCTGTAAAATAACATATTAACCTTACGCAAATTGTCATAATACTCATAATCAAACAAAAAAATAACATTTTATGGACACCCTGTAAATTGTTACTTAAAGCACAGTATAACCAATAGAGACACTCAACGAAAAAATGCGTGTTCGCGCAAGTATGGCTGCGCAGCTTTTATTTTGGGCCGGATCCAATGAAATGCAAGATGACAAGAACATACATATTAGATGAAAGAAAAGTTCGTGGCGTTTTTTTAATGCCATCTAATGGTAAAAACGCCACGAACTTTTTTCCACACCTAATATTACACAGATCCCATGTGAGATATCCGTGGCAAAAGAAGACAATTTAAGAGCTGCGTCATAAATATTTCTAAAAAATAAAAAGAAAATAAAAAAAGAAAAGTTATGTTACGTGCAGTATTAAATGCAGTAATAATAATAAAAATTCACAATGCACTTTTTTTCATTATCCCAAAGATATCGTAAGGTAAGTTTTTATAATTTATAAAAAGTAAGTAGTTTATGCTAGGTTAACTTAATTAAACATAATAAAATATAATTTTATGAAAAAAGATAATATTTTTACATTGACTACGTTTACACGGCATCCTTAATTATATTTTTTAGAGCAAAGCAATGGACTATCGCATGGGGCACATATATCCTCTTTCGGTCTTGGATTTTTCAAACGTTAACATGGCGGACGTGATTGCGAAACGGAGATCAAAGGAGCCGATACGGAGTGTCCCTACTGGTTATATTGTATTTAAAGTCTTTTTTATTTCGGTTTCTCAGAAATCCTGAAAGAATTGAGAAATAAAAATTCGATTTTTCAAGAGTAAAAAGAATTGATTTTCGATGTATCGATTCAAGAATCGACCAGTCCTCCAAATTCCTCTGAATCTGAATTCCTCTCATCTCAATTCTCATGTTTCTCTCTGTCGGCAGTTGATAGTGTCGACACTTGTGTGTTCTTATAGGTTAGGATATTGATCTTCGTTCAAGAATCTAATAAAATTATTTAAAAATTTTAATTAAAAAAAGAATCAACTAAAATATAAATTTTAAAAATTGTAAATAAGTAGATGAACATATTCAAACGGAATATGTCTAAGCTAAATATTTCTGAAGAGAAAATAATATAAAGAGATATTAAGAGTTAAAATTATTATAAGGTTAACTGGAAAAAAAAATAAATATGAATGCGATTCGTATAATGCGTAAGTTAAATCAGATTTGCAAACGTTTCGTAAATACCGAAACAAAATGTCGAGACAAATCACAATGGATAAAACCAGTGGGACATCAGACCGAAGTATCTATATATAATCCGATAACGAAATGCAAAGTACCACTGATCCTGAAAACACAAAACATTTTGAAATGGTATATCTGCGGACCTACAGTATATGACTCCGCACACATTGGACATGCAATGTAATAAAAATATATAAACTTTATGCGTTATGTTGTTTACTATTGTTATATTTAACCAATTATTAATTAAACGATTAGTATTTAATTCAATTATTACAATTATTTTACATCTGTAGTACTGTAGAATGTTTTGCAATCATTATAATTATTATAATTTTACCTGTATATATATAT